GAGGGCATGCACCTGCATACTTGGGTCATTTTGCCTTTCCTGGCCTACTTGCCACCAGTGGGCAGTCAAATAATGGTCAACTGAACATAAGAGCATCTTGTGGGTATATGTATGACTTTGGGAACATGCTTTGTGCCCATAAATCTACAAGACCATGTTAGATTTCTTCCTGGAATGTAGAAGAAGACTGGTACTTCTGGGTCAATTCCCAGTTAGGGACTGTTTTTACAGTTTCTTTCCCTATATGCTCCCCACCTTCTCTCATTCTTGCTCATCTCTAGATGACTACTTAAACAAATATATAGAAAAAAACACAGTATATACAGAGTTCTGTACTTTCCATACATCCACTGGGAGTCTTAGAACATATTCCCAGTGAATAACAGGAACTACTGGATTAATAGTAAATAAAATCCTTAACAACAAATGTCAACAATTTAAATGTACATACTCTCCAACCCAGAAACTCTCTTACAGGATTTTATTTAATAGATACAGTCATATCAATAAAACCTGGGATATTTAGCAACAGGGAACTGATTAAATTAGTACAATAAAAAATGAAATACCAGGTAGTATGAAAAAAGAGGTAATTCCAAATTACTGAAATGACAAAATATACACAAGATATAATTTCAGCAAGTTTTAGGGCTTGTATACAGAATTTCAGCCATATTTTTTTAAGGATATAGCTAAATACATAGTATTACTAGAGCTATATCTATAGATTATGCTATATATTTTGAAAATATATCATCCCACAATTAGTGCTTTATAGTAAATACTCCTATACAAGAAACATATATTCTTATTATACAAGAGCAAATTTTAAATGATGAAATGATAAAAGAACATTTTTAAAGCCAATTGTGTCTATTTTTAAATATGAATTTATTCATCCATTCATCTCATTCATTCAACAAATATTTAATGAATGACTTTAAGTGTGGCACTGTCCTAGATGGAGGAGGAGAGAGAATAAATAATAAAATATTTAACAAGCTAAATGGTATAAGAAAGGCATGGGAGGAAATGAAGAGTCCTATGATGAAGTTCTTTAGTAGGAAAGGTGCCTCTAAAAAGATAGCACTGGAACAAATATTTTTAAAAGAGAAGCAGCAAGACATGTGGCTATACAGGGGGGAGCTTTCCAAGCAAAGAAAATAAAGTACAAAATACCTAAAGAGAGGCTATACACATGGAGGAATGGCAAAGAGGTCAGGGAGTTGGAGATTCTGCCTGAGGGGTGAGGAAGAGATAAAGTGGGAAAGGTAAGGCTCTTACAAATCCTGGTTGGAATTTTTAAGAAATTTGGCTTTTATTTTGAGTAAAATGAAAAATAACTTTTTGAAAAAGTGACACGGTCTGATTTTCATTTGAAAAGAATCATTCTTGGTGCTATACCAACTATAGAACGCTATTGAAACAATCCTTCCAAAATGAAAATACCTTGTTCTAAAATGATAGTAGAAAGGAGTTAGGTAGCCATGATCAGACCCTGAATATACCTTAAATACAAGGACAAAAAATATGCTGAGGGCTTGGATTTGAGGACTGATGTGTTAGTCAGCTTTTCATCACTATGACTGAGATGATACCTGACAAAAATAGCTTACAGGAGAAAAGATTTATTTTGGCTCACAGTTTCAGAGGATTTGGTCTCTACATGACTGGCTGGCTCGATGGGAGAAACATCACAGCAGAAGGGCATGGCAGAGAAAAGCTGCTTATTAGCACATGGCAGCCAGAAAGCAGAGAGAAAGAGAAAGAGGAAAGGAGAAGATAAACCCTTCCAGGGCATGCCCCCATGACCTACTTCCTCTGTCCCACTTTCCAGTAGTCTATTCAGCTATCATTGATTAACCTGCTGATGAAATCAGAGCCTGACAGGATCAGAGCCCTTATGATCTAAACATTGTTTAAAGCCCCACCTCTGAAATTCACTGCACTGGAGAACATGCTTTCAACAAATTAACTTTTGGGGCACATTTCAGATTTAAATCATAATGATTGACAAAAAAAAAAATGCTCAAGTTCCTTGGCTAGCCTCATGAGGTGAAAGGATAAGGTTGCAATGTAAAAAGAAGGAGGATAGCAGGAGGAACAGATCTGGGAAGACACTGTTCCAGGCATGCTAAGTTTGCGATGCTTATTAGGCAACCAAGGAAAGATGCAAGGATGCTGGCTGGATATACAAGATAAGAATTCAAAGAGGAGGTCAAGAAAATGCTCTTTGTATGTTGCATAGCAATGACAGTACTGACCCCAAATACTTACTATCTGATTTTTTAAAATAAGAAATGCTAGCTTTTAGTCTAAATAAAATTGTTGATTGGAATTTCTAAAATTTAGGATTAAGAATTTTTTTTACTTTATAACTAAAACCCTTAATTTTAAAGATTATTTTGTCTATATTTTTATATTTAATAGTTATTGGCATTTCTGTCATACTACAGCATGATGGCCAACTGCAATGGAAAATTTTTATGATCTGAGAAAAAGAAAGAACTATGAATATGAAGAAATCTGTTAGTCTAAGAGAAATTCCTAAGATAAAGAGTTAAAACCAAGACAAAGTTTATGAATGAAAAATGTCCCAGGGCTGGGGATTTAGCTCAGCAGCAGAGTGCTTGTCTAGAATGAATAAAGACCTGAGTTGAATCCTCAGCACTGAGGGGGAAAAAAAATGTCCCAGAATTAGGACATATAGGACATATTAAAAGGCAACAACTGAGTTGGCCAGCTGACAGCATGAATAATCTACTGGTATATAACCAAGCTCCCCAAGAAAAGAATAATGACCTATTCTAAACATATATTATGAAGTTTTTTTACTTGTTTTCTCCTCAGAATGTTATTTCCAATCTTGTATGGAAAATAAGTGGGTGATAAACGATTCATTTCCACAAATAAGTTTGGAATCAAACATGCTAGGATTTATCTATAGTACGAAATGTAAAGAATATGAACTGTTACATGAACCTTATTTTAACTACTTGTACTAGATAAAATATAGAATTGTTTGGAGGGTAGTATTACTGTTTTTGCTTTTTCTGAAATGGCATCCAATCAGGCCATAAAATATAAAATCATATGTTAGCTAAAGCAAAAATTGCAACCAAAATAAAGAAATATAAACATGTAAATCAAGCCAGGTTGTTCTTACAATTCTTTTACTAAACAATTCAATTCATAGAAACTAGTGGTTTTTTTCTTGATGGAATCTGACATAGGCTAAACCCAACCAGAAGCAGAAGGCAACAGAATTGGAATATGTGGTATGGAGAGGCCAAACTCCAAATACAGAGCAGATGGCAGGGCAAAACTGGCTGGAGAGTGGATTTCTCAGGAGATTTGTGCCAGGGTATGGCCAAGACAGAAGATTCTGAAGTGAAGTGGCAAGGAGCAGCTGGGCTAGTTTCCTGTGAACTACTACTCCCATACACCAGAAGCCTCCTATTTAGTCAACATAATCCTGAAATATCTCACTCACATGTCTCATTTTGGAGGGTCACAAACTGAGTTTGTGTCAGGTCTTTCATGTCTTTTGCCCAAGAAACTATAGTAATTTTTTAAAAGTAGAAGTGAGTATAGAGGGAAAAGTGAAAAATGATTACAGATCTGTTCACTGGAAGCATACCTGATGTACTCCCCCATAAGATTAAGATGACTAAGCCATAATAATAAGCATTTAATACAGCCTCAGAAGACAGCCAAACTCCATTCAGAATGTCTATTTTCTTCCCACAATTTCAACATAATAAACACAATAATGCAGATCCTTTAATCATAAAACAATGAAAGTTTTAGAAATACATTGTATAGTACAACCTCATTCATCAGAAAAAGAAAAAAAAAAAAAGTAAATGAAACACAGAAAGGCTAAGTTGCTTGCCCAAGGTCACAAATTTCCTAAGAAGCACAATGATGTTCCCTAGAACTTCTTGCTATGTTTATTGCTTCCAAAAGAGCTCATTCAACCTTGTAAAGATTAAAAAAACCCAAGCAAAGCAAATTTACTAGGAAATAAATTACATAAATTGTGAGCTGTATAAACTAAAACACTCAAATATTTAAATCACAAAAATGAAAAATATATTCATAAGCATTTTCTTAATTAGCCCAAACTTAACACATTTATCATTATAACAACCATCTCAAGAATATACACATTAAAAAAACTACTTTGAGTAGTAAATTATAAATCTCTAATGCCTTTTAAACTGTTAATTTATCTGAAATAGTCCTGTATTTCATAAATCCTGTAAAACAAAATCCATCTAATTTGTTAATGAAATAAAAATCACAAAAAATAGCATACTGTAATTACTTTTAGTTTCCATTTGGAAAGAGGGTGGGGTTAGGGAAACTGGCAGAAGGTGAAAACAAACCTTTCTATAATGTGTAGAAATCATGGTTTTTTCCTATTAGCGTATTTTGAAAAACAAAAATAAGACAAAGAATGGCTTTTGTTCCCCTAAGCAAATATAATTTTTAAAGTAACCACAATTTGCTTAGTTTTTAAATTTTCTCATAATTTTTCACATTAAGATATCAATGACTTATAATAAGCAAAGTATTTAGCTTGATGGATACCAATGATTTAGATTCTATAATTACATGTAAATATAAAGGTTAAGAATAGATGAGGCACTTTTGAAAATGAAAAATCAATGAATATACTTTAATTTACCCAATATCAAAATTTAGAGAAAAGATAATATTAGCAAAATTATACCATTTCAGAATGGAAAATTACTACATAAACCTATGAGCATATGGACATGCTACAAGATTAAACAAAGAAAAAAAACAAGGAAGAAAGGATTGATTTTTCTTAACTGATACATGTTATTGTGACAGTTCATATTCTGTGTCAACTTGACATCAAGAATTAGTCAACAGAACAGAATCAATAAGACATCATTAGAAAAACTATTTCAAAGTATCACCTATATCAGTTATCCTAATTCACAATGTAAGAAATATTTCAAATATACCTGTATGCTGCCAAATTCAACATTCTCATAATGGAAATGTGCACATTCAGCCATCTTCGGAAAGTGACCCTTAGTGAAGGGTAACCTGAAGTACATGAAAATAAATATGAAATAAGATAGTGGGAGAGTCAAAATTACCAAGTCTCGGGAAAACACACAATAGGTTAAAGAGTTCATGCAAGCAAAAATAATAAGCACATGCATATGAGCCATATGTATCCATACAAATCTTCTCAGAGAGACATCGATCAAAAAATATTACATTTAGCACACAGATCTAAACCAAAAATTAAAAATTAAAAATAAATCACTATCCTCTCCTAATCTTGATCCAAGTCAGTGACTACAGAAAAACTACTTTAGGTGAATATTATGAAAACTAACTGTGAGCTGTCAGCTTCTAACCAGAAGCAGCATTCACAACATCAAGTACAAAACTGGATTTTACCTGTGAATGTTGTCACAGCCCATCAGTCCTGGAGTAGTAGACCTGAATGCAGAATGAACATTTTTATCCTGATCTTTCCTCTACTTATACATGAAGCATAGCTAGCTACCTAACCTTCCTTTACCAAGTAAAAAGTAGTTTCTCTCTTTAAAGATGCATGGGAAAGATTCAGGTATTTCACTGAACAGCCAACTAGCGGCATCTATCAGGCAAACGTGACATCTAGTGATCTAATAACTTGAACAGAGCTGACTTTTCTAAATGAATGACCACATAAATTAAAAGTACCAAAAATGGCATGCCTGGTTTGTTGCTATTAAACAAATTCAACCTAATAGACAATGACATTTCAAGATCAAAAATACAATATATTTTTAGAAAAGCAGATAATCTGCAAGCCTATTTCCATTAATTGTTGAGTCACAATTTAAGGCTTAACAGTATAATTTAACACATGCATAGTAAGAGCTTATTTATAGGAATCTAAATAAAAGCTTTAACAGAATTACAGAACTGACTTCCATTTATAGGAATGCATTTAGAACCCACTCCAAAGTTATACTTACTTTTTCACGTGTTTAACTTTCATACTCGCTGTATTGCCACATGTCTTAAGAGTAAGATCTCCAGGAATCTCTGGAACATCTGCTCCTCGTGCCTTCAAAAAATAAAGACAAACAACTTATGAGGATTCCTTTAGTATTGATACTTTTTAAAAAATGGATTGTAGTTAATTTTAGTGGTTCTGCTCACTTTATATTTATAGAAATATACTGTGGCTTCATAATCTCTTCTTAAAATTACAATTTTCCTGGGTTTTAATTACTAGCAATTAGAGAAATGCAAATCAAAATCACTCTAATATTTCATCTCACTTCAGTCAGAATGGCAGCTATTATGCATACAAACAACAATAAGTGTTAGCGAGATGTGTGGGAAAAGGTACACTCATACACTGCTGGTGGGACTGCAAGTTGGTGCAGCCAATATGGAAAGCTGTACAGAGATTTCTTGGAAATTTGGGAATGGAACCACCATTTGACCCAGCTATCCCTCTCCTTGGTCTATACCCAAAGGACTTAAAAACAGCATTCTACAGGGACACGGCCACATCAATGTTTATAGCAGCACAATTTACAATAGCTCAACTGTGGAACCAACCTAGATGTCCTTCAATAGATGAATGGATTTAAAAAATGTGGCATATATACACAATGGAATATTACTCAGCAATAAAAGAGAATAAAATCATGGCATTTGTAGGTAAACGGATGGAGTTAGAGAAGAAAACACTAAGTGAAGTTAGCCAATCCACCCAAAACAAATGCTGAATGTTTTCTTTGATATAAGGAGGCTGATTCATAGTTGGATAGGGAGTGAGAGCATGGGAGGAATAGATGAACTCTGGATAGGGCAGAGGGGTTGGAGGAGAAGGGAGGCGGCATGGGGTTATTAATGATGGTGGAATGTGATGATCATTATTATCCAAAGTACAACTATTAAGACATGAATTGGTGTGAATAACTGTGTAAACAACCAGAGATATGAAAAATTGTGTTCTCTATGTGTAATAAGAATTATAATGTATTCTGCTATCATATATAAACAAAAAAATTTTCTTTAAAAGTGTGTGTGTGTGAGAGAGAGAGAGAGAGAGAGAGAGAGAGAGTCAGAGAGAGAGACAGAGAGAATGTCTCTACAGAGAGAATGTGTGTATGTGTGTAATAAAGACACACAGATGGAGACCTGGTGCATACCAGGCAAGCATTCTACCACTGAGTTACATCACAAACTCAAAAACAATTTTGGGGAAAAAATAAATAACCAAACTAGTTTGAATAAGCATTTTTTTTAAAAAAGAAAACTTTTCAAAGATATGAGGAAGCTATTATGAACTTATATAAATTAGCCCTTGCTTTCACAATAGAGTACACCTGATTTTTGTTTTTAAGGGGTTTTTTTTCCTTAGCAAATTTATCTATTTAAGAGTTGATAGTTCATGATTTAATCCTTCTTAGAAGTCTTTTATTCTTTTAGAGGTCTTCCAATGAAAAAGAATATGTACTATATTGTTTAGCGATGAAATAAAATTCTATCTCACATTTTCCACGTAGATTATATTGGACCTTTTTATAAATATAAGATAGGATCTTGTATTATCTTTCCTTTGTCTAAGAACGTTTTTTTTAAATACCCTTAGGTATTATTATTTCATCAGTACTCACCATCATTCATTGATTATTCTCCACCATGCTAAAAATATTTTAAAAGACTAAAATAAAAAATATTTAAAAGAAAAAGGAAAATTGAGGAATCACCTAGAAGAGATTGGCAAACTTTCTCTTGAAGGCAGCTGACAAATATTTTAGGCTGTGGGCCACACTATACCTACCATTCTTCAACTCTGCTATAGTGGCACAAAAGCAACCACACAAAAATGACCAAACATGGCCACACTCCAATACAGCATGGTAGGTAGCAAATGAGATTTGCTGACCTCTGACCTACAAGGCTAATCCCATAGTGAAATAATTCATCACCCAGCTTTTATATTATGTTGCCCAATACGTTGTATCTTTCAAGAAAGTATTTTTTAAAGCTAGGACAGAACCTTTGTAGTCTGCATTTTAATTTCATTGATTATACTAATTCCATAGTTTTCATTTTCTACCCACAATAGAAAAGAGAAGAAAACTGACAAAAAAAAAAAGATTTCACAATGATTAGAAACATCAAAAGATGGATGCCAAAACAGCACTGTAGACTACCAGTGTTGTTTAAAGTGACATGACATTTCTGACTAATGATAATCAATATCCTAAAAGAAAATAATGAGTTAAGAATTAATAAGTATACAATGTATTTCTAAAGAAAAAATAAATATGGTATTTTCTCCAGTTAGTCAACTGAAAGGACTTTTTCATGTAATATTATGAAACAACAACTTGGATCACCTTTTTAGTTTTTTGTTTGTTTTAAAAAAATATCATGCAATACCATTTCATCATTTGTGAATGTTTGCATACCAAAATTTATTTGACATAAGAGGCTTGCGATGCTTTAATTACTATTAAAATTTCTAATGAGTTGATTTTTTTACTACTTATGCTATAAGTTATTCATGAAAGTCAACTACTATGAAAGAATAAAAAAGGCCCCACTGGACTGGGTTGGTAAACAGTGATGCCTCTATTTGGTAGACTAAAAATTAAAACATTAACTTTCTTTTTTTTTGAGAGAGAGAGAGAGAGAGAGAGAGAATTTTTTAATATTTATTTTTTAGTTTTTGGCGGACACAATAACTTTGTTTGTATGTGGTGCTGAGGATCCAACCCGGGCCCGCACGCATGCCAGGAGAGCGCGCTACCACTTGAGCCATCCCCAGCCCCTTAAAACATTAACTTTCATTTGAAAATAAGCTGCTTATGCTGAAAAAACCAGGGTCCCTAATACATGAGATTTGCTGACCTCAAGGGAGAATAAGAAACCTGTCCAGCCTATATGTAATCCAACTGAAGTAAATATATCATGGACTATACACCTGTAACCACAACTAACTGGACTGTAGGTAGAAATACAACCCAAAGGTCAATCAACAGGCTGTGCAAAGGGACCTGACAGGGAAACCTCTGACTAAGACAAAATGGTGATAACTAGGACAACAGACTAAATAATAGTCCAGGAGGCTTTTAGAGGATCCAGGAAATATTTTTGAACAACAATTCAACCCATCTATTAGTAGGTATGTTTTGTCCATAATATTTTTTTTTAGCCCAGGATGTTCCAAGCACATCCTGGCCACTGGGTATATATATTTTTGTGGCTAAATAAATATAGTCCACTTTAACATAACAAAGTTACATCATTTATTCTTTTAAGATTAAAAAAATAAAATTAAAAGGAAATATAGTCCTCTATTACTCAATCACCTAATAAACTAATATTTTGCCCTACATACTTAAAACTATCTTAAGTTTCTACTAAAAGCCATAGTTTAAGTCATTTTATTCTGTTATTCCCAAAGATTAAAAGTCATTTTTGAGAAAATAGTTCATTAAGTGATATTTATGCATAGAAAATATGCAATTTCACCTATTTATTCATTTCATAATCATTATTTAGTTTTGCTTCCAAAATAGAATTTGTAATATCAGCCACACAGAAGCCGCATCATTCTTCAATAGAAAAAAAGACAAAAGAAAGCAATCAGCCACACATTAAACACATTGAAGCATAAGTCATTTACATTTAACTCCCCACTTATCTAGATCCAGCAATAAAATGATTTCCTTTGAAATCACCTTTGAATTATAAATATCAGACACATAGGATATGCTGGAGAAAGCTTAAGGGAATTAACAGATAAAATGATTTTTGTTTCCTCGCCTTTCTTTTCATTTACCTTTATATCTTTCTTTTTCACTGTGTAATTCAACTAATATGTTCATTACCCGATCAATACAACTCTATCTATAGAATCTAATTAAAATATATTTACTCCATTTAAGTCTACAACAATAACTATGCCAATTGTTGGTATTTCCCTTGATTAATTTTTCACAGGATTCATCCTTTGTATAGTACATAGGAATACTTTATATTTTCATTCATATCTCTTGCAAATTGTCTTATGTCAATCTCCAAAGACTTTTCCATTCTTTAAACAACAAATTCCTTGAGCAAGAGCCCATGAATTATTAGTATTTAATATTTAACCCCCATTATAACCTTAAAGTTTGGCTCCTTTCAGAAAAAATGGTCAGAAAACTCATTACTATTAACTACACTAGAAAAGTAAATACAGATTTTATCTTTCATTTTTAAATTGCTCTGGAAAATAAAAAATTTCTTCATTTTAATAACGCTACTTTTATGATTTTATCATAAAAATTTTTATGATTAAAACCCTTGTATCTTAATGTATACCAATATAAAGTGCTCCAAAAAGCTTGATTTAATTTACACTGCTACCCACTATATATTAGAGTACCTATTTTCTCTTAATTTCACGAGCACTGAATATTATTAATGTTTATCTTCCTTTGATAAGATTACTTCTTCACCTTTCTTTTATAATTAAGGCAAATGAGTTGAACATAATTTCACACTTTAAGCAGGTATTTTTATTCATTATTTTGCACAATACATTTTATTATATTCCATCTGACCTATCACTAAGCCAAAATATTTAAAAGTTGCCATTAAAATTATAAACCTTGCATTGAACGTCTTACATCTTGCTATAATTTGGATATGGTGTGTCCCTCAGAGTTCATGAACTAAAGGGTTGTCCCTAATGTAACAGTATTGAAAGGTGGTGGAACCTTTAAAAAGGTGGCACCTAGTGGGAAGTGATTAAGTCATTGGGAGCACCATTCTCGGAAGGGATTAATGCTCTCTCACAGGAGTAGATTAGGTTTTATGGGACTTGATTAGTTCCCATGAGAATGGGACATCATAAAGTAAGTTAAGCTCTCATGGTTCTTTTTCTTTTGTACACACTCCTGTCATGTGATCCCATCCACTATATTACGGTACAGCATGAGGCCCTTGCTAGATGTAGATGCCTGAGCTTGGATTGTCAGCCTCCAAAACCATGAGCCAGTGTCAAATTACCCAGTGTCAGGAAATGAAAATGACCAATTATATTATTCTATT